CCCCAGACGCTCATGCGGTTCAGGGAGCAATTATGCTGATTAATAATAATAACACCTTGCGCTGCTATGGGACCTTTTGATCTTGGGATCGCCCATAGTTTTACAAATGCTCATTAAGCCAATTAGCACGGTGCAGCCCTACCAGGGAGGAAAGGGCTCAGGATGGGGAAGTTGAGATGTTAATTGAATGACAGCTTTGGGAGTATGACCCAGGAGTCCTGCCTCCTAGCCCCTCCCACCCCACCCCTGCTCTAACCCATTAGACTCCCCTCCCAGAGCTAGATAGAGAGCTGAGGAGTCCTGGCTCCCAGCCCTGCCCCTGACCCCTGCACCAACCAGTAGATCCCACTCCCCTCCCAGCGCTGGAGATAGAACTCTACTCAAGATTTCCCTGTTTACGTATCCTAGGATCACATTACCCCTTTTCGCCATAGCGTCGCACCGGGAACTTGTGTTCAACTAGTTATCCACCACGACCCCTTCATCTTTTTCAGTCTGCGCTTCCCGGGTTAGAGTCCCCCACCCTGTAAGTACGGCCTGCATCCCTGTTTCTAGATGTCTACATTTAGCTGTATTAAAATAGATATTGTTTGCTTGGGCCCAGTCTACCAAATCGCTCCATGCCAGTGACCTCTCCTCTTCGTTATTTACCACCACCCCCCAATGTTTGTGTCATCTGTAAACCTGATCCATGATGATTTTATGTTTTCTTCCAGGTCGTTGATAAAAGTCTTAAATTATAGTAGGCCCAAGAACCAATCCCAGCGGGACCTCATTGGAAACACCCCCGTGCAATGATCATTTCGTTTACAGTTACGTCTGGGGATGAGGGTTCAATTCCTGTTCTGCCACAGATGACCTTGGGCAAGTCACTTAAGCCTCTCTGTTTCACTTCTGGATAATGGCACTGCCCGACCTCCCGGGGGTGCTCACATAGCAGGAAAAGGGAGTACATCAGAGACCTGGAGAATGGGGCAGCACTGTGTTGAATAATGGGGCGAAGGCCTCGCATCTCTCAGAGCCTCGTAGAACAGCTCCACGGAGGATTTCCCTCGCTCTGAGAGTCGCACAGGATGGCCCAGAACGTCCGGGTTCCTCTCCACTTCGCTGACCCTGGCCCAGACGTTATTCACTAGGTACCGGGCCTCGCCATTCCTGTCAGAGTAACAGTTCAATGCCAGGCCAATTGTTCTGACATACTTCCGAACGGTTCTGTAGGTGGAGGAGGGAGAAACGGGGGCGGTGGGGACACCAGACAGAATTTCCAGTGTAAGACATTGTCAAAAACACATTTGTGCTGCATCCCTCTCTGCTAGTGATGGCTACACATACAGGATAATGGCATATTACTACTACCGCCTAACGAAGCCCAGCCTTTAGCTGGAGTGGCAGAGGTCAGTGCCGCATTGCTAATGATCGTAGGTTCAAACAATGTTGATAACCCATGCTGTGGGATTTCTTATAAAAGGAATCTCTCATATGCTGATCAGAGCTCATCCGAACTGACCCAAACCCAGAGCCCAACTTGGGCCGTGGTTGGTGGGGGATTTCCGTCCCAATTTCTCCCCAAATTCGTTCATCTCTGTGATACACTGGTGAATACATGTGAAAGCGACACCTCCTAGTGGCTGCAATGCATAATGCAATAGAAGGGGCTGGCTGTTGAATAAAGCTGGGTGGGAACCCAATTTTCCGTTCCAGGGGAAATGCCGCGATTTTGAAATTTGTTTCTGTTCTGAAATGAAAACAAACAAAAACATTTCAACATTTCCTGCCGAATGGAAAAATTGTTTCAGGCAATAAAAACATTCTGTTCATTTATATTATATATTAATTATAATTAGATTAGATTATATTAACATAAGAACGGCCACACTGGGTCAGACCAAAGGTCCATCTAGCTCAGTGTCCTGTCTTCCCACAGTGGCCAATGCCAGGTTCCCCAGAGGGAATGAACAGAACAGGGAATCATCCAGTGATCCATCGCCTGTCGCCCATTCCCTGCTTCTGGCAAACAGAGACTAGAGACACCATCCCTGCCCATCCCGGCTAATAGCCATTGATGGACCTATCCTCCATGAACTAATCTAGTTCTTTTTTGAACCCTGTTATAGTCTTGGCCTTCACAACATCCTCTGGCAAAGAGTTCCACAGGTTGACAGTGCGTTGTGTGAAGAAATACTGCCTTTTGTTTGTTTTAAATCACAGGACCTTGACAAAGGGGAGAATTGGCCTGAAATCAGCAAGATTAAATTCAATAAAGACAAGTGCAAAATGCTACGCTTAGGAAAAATCAAATGCACAGCTACAAAGTGGGGGACTAGCTGGCTAGGCAGCCATACTGCTGAAAAGGAGCTGGGGGTTCTAGCGGATCGCAAATTCAATATGATCCGAAAACAATGTGACGGCAGCTTTGAGGAAGGCTAATATCCTTCTGGGGTGTATTAACCGGAGTGTCGTACGTAAGACATGGGAGGTCGTTGTCCTGCTCTGCTCCGCATTGGGGAGGCCTCCGCTGGAATCCGGTGTCAAGTTCTGGGCACCGTGCTTTAAGAAAGATGTGGACGAATTGGAGAGGATCCAGAAGAGAGCAACAAACAGCATCAGAGGTTTAGAAAACCTGCCCTAGAAGGAAAGGTTAAAAAAAACCTGGGCGTGTTTACAGCCTTCTCAACCTTTTTCTTTCTGGCTTCGGCTTCAGCCCAGGTGGCGGGGCTCAGGGCTCCGAGTTTCAGCCCCGAGGCGGGGCCAGATTCACCTTTTGTGGGCCCAGCGCCAAATATATTTGTGGTCCCCCTTGGGGACAATGGAGCTGGGGCAGACAGGTCGGTCCCCAGAATGAGGGGCCGGCCGGTAGCAATGGGGCATGGCATGGTGGGGGCCTCCCCGCTCTGCCCAGCCCAGTGTGAGGACAAACTGGCAGTTGCCAGATGCACAGTGGCCCGCCCGGCCCTGTGCTACCAGCGCGCCCCTTGCCCTTGGAGATGGGCCTATGCTATGCCACACAGCCCCCACCCCTGCCCAACAGCGGCCCTGCAACTCCCTATGGCCAGAGCCTCCCAGACCCACTATGCCCAGCATCACCCTCAGACCCTCTCACAAATTCACAGCACCCTGCACTACACCACCCCTGCCCAGTGCCCCTCTGCCCACTGCCTCACCACAACTGCCCAGCACCCTCCACAGAACCCCCACTCCCTAGTGCCCCCCCACACACAGATCTTCCCCACTCCCTCACCCCCCAGCACCCCCCACACACAGGCCCCACAGAGACCCCCTCCCCCACACCTTGCCTCCCGGCCGCACTCACCGGCCCTGCTGGGAGGTGACTGTGTCTGTCAGCAATGCAGCCAGGGCTGGTCCTGGGGCCGGGAATCGCTCCGGTCCCTCAAGAGTAGTGCAATCAGCCAGGCCAGGGCCTGCCCCGGTCGGGCTCCCTCTGGACCCACTTGCCTGCAGCAGCCCAGCCAAGCCCCCCACACTGCCCCCCTCCAACTGACCGAGCCTGACCAGGCTTCTGCACCAGTCCCAGGTGGCTCAGCTCCAGGGAGACAGGTGGGGCCGCACAGGTGGTGGGAAGCAGAGACTGCCCAGAGCCGGAGATGCGCTGGGGTCCGGCCAGGGAGCAGATAGGAGCCGGCGAGTGGGGCCAGGGAGCGGAAAGGAGCCCTTGGCTGGCCGGTGGAGAGGAGTAAGTGGGGGTGGGGGAGGGAGCAAGCGGGCTGGCAGGGTCTCGGGGCCCGGTGCAAGCAGAGCAGGCCTGGGACCCCTTCTGAGCATGGGCCTGGCTCCATGGCACCACTGGTGCCATTGTAAACCCGGTACTGGCCCCAGGCGGTGGGGTTTCAGCTCTCTGCCCTGGGCCCCAGCGAATCTAATGCCAGCCCTGCTTGGTGGCCCCCTGGAAACCTGCTCACAGCCTTCCAAGCAGGCCCCGGGCCCCTGGTTGAGAACTAGGGCTCCGTCTTAAGGGCTGTATTAAGCGTATTAAGGGCTGACGTCTCCCGGTCTCCCGGCCCCGCGTTTCTCTGACGCTATAAGCGCCGAGCGAGCCCTGGCGGGCATCTCCGCAGGTGGGAACCTCTGGGCGGGCAGAGAAGCCCTCGAACGAGGCCCCAAAGTGGGCCCGAAGATTTGCCGGCGTGACGCAGCGCTTGGACCGCTCTTCTCCCGGGCTGTGGCCGGGACCCCAGGGGGAGCGACTGCCCTTTCCCCCCGTTGCTCTCCGCGGCTGGGGGGGCGACGGGGCCCCGGGGGAGGCTGCGGTGTGTGGGATGCCCCAACCCTTCCAGGATGGCCCTGGAGTCTCCAGGATTTAAAGATTCGTGGCTCATGAAAGATCACGTCGTGTGGTGAAAGCTCCAGGCACTGGGCTCGTGCCTGGCTGGCAGCTCTGTCCCCGGGGTTGGGGAGCCTGGGGATGGGGTCGGGGGGGGGTCCCCCCTTGGCTGTCCCCACTAGAGGGCCCTGCTTATTGCACGGGCTGCTGCGTTTCTTCCTTGCACTCGCTGCTACCTCCGGGGGTTGAGTTTCCTGGGCGAGACGGATGCAGCTGCAGTTCCGGGAGCCAGCCGGGGGTTGAGCCGCTGCTGACCGGGGGAGAGACCTGGATCCGAGCCCCCTCCGCGCCCAGCCCTGGCGGGGGACTTTCTCCGGGGGCTGGAACCAGCCCCGGGCTCTGCCAACACCAGCCCCTGAGCCGGAGCCTGCAGGTGATGGGGAGACCCGGGGGAAGCGCTGGGGCCGGGCAGGAAAGGGGGGGAGCAAACCCGCCCAGGAATCAGAGGCCAAGTCTCCCAGGCAGAGGGGGAAGGAGACAGAAAACGGGGGGGGACAGAAAAGGGGGGGGCGGAGTCAGAAAGGGGGCAAGAGGCTCCCAGCCCCCACCCACCAAATCTGCCCCAATCCATTGGCATCACCCCAGGGAGACTTGACTTTCCTGGGGACAAGCTGTGGAGCTGAGAGAGGAAAAGCCAGTTCCTGCCCAATCTGGGGGGAAGGGACAGTGTCAGGGAAAACCTCCCCCAAACAGCCCCTTTCCTAGCATTTGGCTCAGAGACATTGTTCCTTGGCACGGGGTCCCGGTGGGTTTAGTCCTGCTGGGAGGGGCCAGATCTGCACTGGAAGAAAGAGACCCGGTGTTGTCAGAATCAAAATCATAGAATATCAGGGTTGGAAGGACCTCAGGAGGTCATCTAGTCCAACCCCCTGCTCAAAGCAGGACCAATCCCCAGACAGCTTTTTACCCCAGTTCCCTAAATGGCCCCCTCAAGGATTGAACTCATAACCCTGAGTTTAGCAGGCTAATGCTCAAGCCACTGAGCTATCCCTCCATGGGGGGAGGGGAGGGGGGGGGAGTGTCTTAAAAACATCCAGCACGGAATAGTCAAGGACTTGCCAGGCTGAGCAGGGGCCTTTCTGGTGGCATCAGCTGCTCCAGAAAACCGCCTAGCATAGTGGGTTCTCGACCCTTTTCTTCATTTGAGGATCTCTACAAAATTTCAAATGCAGGTGTGGATCCCTTTGGAAATCCTAGACCTGCAGAGCACAGGTTGAGAACCAGTGGCCTATGGTAACGACAACCTTTCGTGGACTCCTTAAACATAGTCTGCGAAGCCCCAGGGATCTCCGGACTACCAGTGAAAACTACTGGCCTAGCAGACAATGGTGGATTCAGATCCCTCCCTAACCCTCTTAGCCAGGGGTTAGTGTAAGTCCTGAAGGATTCAGAGTTCGATCCCTTCCCAACCATCAGCTTATGTCGGTCATCCTTCCACACTGTATAAAAATGTGCATATAATATTACAAGGATTGAAATCTGGACAGCTGGATCTGACGGCGTAAACCGAAAGACCCAGTTTCTGTAGCTCATAATCTGTGGTGGACACAGTGAAGCTAGTAAGGGGGATGGGGCAAAATCACCTGTTGTTAGCCTGCAATATATACTGTTTGAGGCATTGGCTGTTGCACAGTGCAGTCACTAGAGGGAGACAAAAACGCACATGCTGTTATCCTGGGGTACACTGGGGCATTGACTGTTGCACGGTGCAGCCACTAGAGGGAGACAGAAACCCCACCTCATGTTCTCCTGGGTTAGACATCCCAGAGTCGGAGGATGGGAACAGAGTAGTTCCAAAAAAATTTCCAAGAGAACGTTTTCCCACCAGAAAACGCCATTTCTTCAGCGTCAAACCATTCTGCAGGAACGTGTCGATTTCTGCAAAAATTTCATTTCAAAGGGACTGAATTTTTCCCCAAGTTTATTTTGTTTTCTGTTCTATTATAAAGCACAATAGAACGGACCATTTTAAAAGGCCCACATCAAAATGAAACATTGCAGTTTTATGGAAATAAAACATTTGGGTTGCCCTGACAGAGGGCGATTTTTGTTGGTTTGGTTTTTAACAGGCCATTTGGACATTTTTCTCCTTGCGGAATGAAAGCCAATTTCAAAATCCCAGGATTTCTCTTGAAACGGAAATTCTGGTGGCCACCTGGCTCGAGTGGGGACGGAGCCCTAGTCCCCCCCAAAACTGGGGAATTGCTGATTTCAGGAACCGCTGCCGGATTCCAGAGCAGAGCAGCCAGCCTGCCACCCTGAGCTGGTGGGATTTTCCAGAGAGCAGCTGGTACTGAGTGAGGGATGCTTATTTTTTCCCCAGGAGCTGGTGGCTTTCCATGAGGAGTCTGCGCCTCTCTGCAGGGTGCAGCGGGCTGGCGGAGAGCCCTCCGCAGGGACGCCATGCAGGAGAATTATGAGACGCTGATATCTCTGGGTAAGGATTCACTCTCCCTCGCTTAGTGGTTTGTCTGATAGGCCTGAAGGAACGTGAGCGCCTTGGATTTTTGCAGGGAGAAGATCAGCCCCTAGAGATCTCATGAGAGACAGAGAGAGAGACCGTTTTCCACACCACACACCCGTCTTCTCCCCGAGGGACATTCGGAAACAGCCAAGTTGCTAACCTCCCTAGAGACTTCAGTGGGGGCAGAAGGGCTGTAGATACTTCTCCTTCACAGTGGCTAGTAGGTTTGCACCTTTGGCTAGCAAGTATCTGCTCAGTTTTTCCCAGCTCTGCCTCCTTACAGATTTCCCCTTGTCTCTGCACCTGGAGAATCCAAGCCAGAGATCTTTCCCCTGCAGAGTTCTTTTAGGGTGTGTCTACACTGCTCATTAAGCCTGGGCTCTGACTCTGGTTTCAGCCCAAGCCCCTCTTCTGTCTGCCCACAAATCATTCTGACTCGGGTCGGCGAGCACTCAGGACTTAGATGGGTGAGAGGCCGAGTCCCGCTGTGGCTCAGGTCCAAGCCCTGTCGTTTTGCAGTGTGGACACAGCTCAAGCTGCAAACCCGAGTGCAGTGTGGACGTGTTGCCCTGGCTGTGAGACCCGGGGCTAGCAGTTATAAGCCCAGATTTACAGTGCAGTGCAGACGCTCAAGCACGGACTTGGAAACACCCTGTTCACAAGCCAGGGTCCAGATTGACGGTGTAATGTAGACATGCCGTGAGCTCTTGCTGTTTGAGCAAGCCTGGTGCAGTGGTGAGGGTCTTTGCGTCGGGTGGGGGAGACCAGCCTTCGATTCCCTGCTCTGCCACGGACTGTGTGTGCGTGATCTTGGGTAAGTCACTTAGGGAACATCTACACGGCCAATGACAGCCCGCCCCCATCCCTTAGCTTCAGAGCCCGAGCTCCGACCTGAACGTCTACATGGCTATTTTCAGCGCCGGAGCAGAGTCTGTCAGCCCGGGCTCTGGGACTCAGTGCCGCAGACTGCCGCTTGCTGTGTAGACGCACCCTTAGTGTTTCTGGGCCTCAGATTCTGGTCTGTAACATGGGGATAACAGCTCTGCCCTATATTTAGGGCCCTACCAAATTCACGGCCATGAAAAACGTGTCACGGACCATGACATCTGGCCTTTTGTGTGCTTTTACTCTATCCTATAGGGTAAAAGTATACAAAAGTACACAACGTTTCTCAAACTGGGGGTCCCAACCCAAAAGGGGGTCGAAAAGCTATTGTAGGGGTGTCACGGTATTGCCACCCTTACTTCTGTGCTGCTGCTGACGGCAGCGCTACCTTCAGAGCTGGGCACCCGGCCAGCAGCCACTGCTCTCCGGCCGCCCAGCTCTGAAAGCAGCATAGAAGTAAGGGTGGCAATACCGTGACCCCCCTACAATAGCTATCCGACCCCCTTTTGGGTTGGGACCCTGAGTTTGAGAAACGCTGAGTCTTAAGAGCTTTGCATGTTTATATTTTGCTGTTTTTAAATACCTATTCGTGTTTTGTTACAGCACCGTGAAATTTAAGATTTAAATATCTGAAACCGTGACATTCAAGATTTTAAAAATGCTATGGCCGTGAAATGTACGAAAATGGACCGTGAATTTGGCAGGGCTGTACCCGTATAGAGGACAATATGTTACAGACAGGATTCAACTGCTATTGGTGAATGGCGGGAAACATCAATTTCATCGCACATGCACAAAGCAAGGAAAAACTATTTCATAAGAACATAAGAACGGCCATACTGGGTCAGACCAAAGGTCCATCTAGCCCAGTATCCTGTCTTCCGACAGTGGCCAATGCCAGGTGCCCCAGAGGGAATGAACAGAACAGGGAATCATCAAGTGAGCCATCCCCTGTTGCCTATTTCCAACTTCTGGCAAACAGATTATTTCCAGTGATAATTGTCAAAATTCATGGCTGGACAAAGCAAGGAAAATGCTGCTGGAGAACTTAGTAGAGTTTGATTTAAGGCAATTTACTTTGTAAAATTCCTAGGCCAGACGGGACCATTGTATCCATTTTGTCTGACCTCCTGTCTAATACAGGCCAGAGAACTGCCCCGAAATAATTCCTAGAGCAAGATCTGATGTGAGGTTGACCAGTTATGTGTTAACCATTATAAAGCTTTAACTTTCTGAATCGCAACGTTTACCGTCATTAGAGAATTATTGTCAGGGGTCGCCCCCCATAATTTCCCACAACGGTGAGCACTGAAATTGATGATAATTTTAAAAAATGCTTAAAAATAAACATGGATGGTCTCCGTCCAAATGATACCGAAACAAAAATTGAATTCTCCCAAAGCCTAATTAGACACTGAAAGGAACTCAGATACTGTGGCAATAGGGAGCCCCGTAAGAGAGATCTGAAGTCAATGGAAAGTCAACGGTTATGGAGCAGATCTTGCACTCTTGATCTGTCTTCTTTCGCCTTGCGCTGCTTTTGCTAAGGGAAGGGGAGCTGGGCTGGTGGTTGTCCCAGGCAAGACCGTCCCGGCCTGCGGTGCGTCTAATCGCCGTCTCATCCGTTTCTTGTTAGCAGAAGAGATGGCCATCAGCATGCCGCGAATCACTGCGATGGCCGAATCCCATCGCAGGGAGCTGGTGTCGGGTAAGTCCCTGCGAGTTGGAGGCGACGAGAGATTTGCAAAAGCCGTGAGTGACTCAGGAGTGGGGGGCCCTATTTGAGCCACCTCTCAAGGCCTGGAAGCCCTGAGCAGAGGTGGATTAAATGTTTTGGAGGAACCTTTTTGTGGACAAAAACTACAGTTGCAGCGACCCCGAAGCATTGTGTGAAATGGTGCCTGTTGCGGTCGAATAAAACTCTAAAAAAAAATTCTGGAAAATTGAAGCGTTTCGACCTTTTCTCAAAAGAAACAGTCCAATTTTCCGCTTCGAGAGGACATTTTGTTTCAAACGTCTCCTTTTCTTTAAGGGAACCGACGAGCCAGGAAAAACCGTTCCAGAACGGTGAAAATCCAAACACAACGGTTGGCGTTTTGTCAAAAGGAAATGTTGCGTCCAGGGTTTTTTACCTTTTTGGTTTCCCCAAAATTTCAAAAAAAAAAGGAAATCATTTTTGGTTCCACCCAAAACAATGTTTCCCCTCCTCCCCCAATTTCTTTGGAACATGCCGTGAACCAAAACATCTGTTATTCACCCAGCCGCCCTGTGCCCACCCAGGTCCCTTTAAGGGATGCCAGGTTGTGGTTGTCTCAGAAATAGAATGACCAGTGGCTCTTGCTATTTGAAGCCAAGGGGATTTTGTTCTGGATCTGTTGGCTGAAGGGCTTCCATGGGGAAGGCTTTCGCCCAGCTGAATAATTCAGGCTGGAATTTCCAAAAACCCTGACGGATTCCTGTGTCCAGATCCCACAGGATTTGGGCCCACAATGATAATCCACCACCTGGGGCTTTGAAAGGGAGTTAGGGGAAAGATACGGAGTTTGTAGCATTTTCCCTTCGTGTCTTTCCGATCCGTCTACCTAGGTCGGGTGTCAAATGCATGTCGTGGAGATGGTCCAGCCCCTTTCTTAATCACGGACCATGTGCTGGAGTCAATTCATGTCTCTCCCTGTGTGTCTGTTTAGTGCCCGGCGCAACGGGGCCCTGATCTCAGCTGGGGCAAGGACTGTCTCTCCCTGTGTGTCTGTGCAGCGCCCGGCACAACGGGGCCCTGATCTCAGCTGGGGCAGGGAGTGTCTCTTGCTGTGTGTCTGTGCAGCACCCGGCACAACAGGGGCCCTGATCTCAGCTGGGGGCAGGGCCTGTCTCTCCCTGTGTGTCTGTGCAGTGCCCGGCACAACGGGGCCTTGATCTCAGCTGGGGCAGGGACTGTCTCTCGCTGTGTGTCTGTGCAGCGCCCGGCACAACGGGGCCCTGATCTCAGTTAGAGCCTCTATGTGCTACTGTAAAACAATCAACCCAGCCTGATTAGTATCCCATCAACACTTAATCTGTCCTTTTCTCTCCTCCTGCCAGCGGGATTTCCAATTTCTAAGCCTGACCTGCTCTCCTGGATGGAACGAGGGGAAGAACCGTGGGTCCCAGATCTCCAGGCCTCTGAGGACAGGGAGATCCCGAGAAGCAGCAGTCCAGGTGAGCAGGAGTAAAGCCCAGGAGAAAACCATATATAAGTGAAATATTTAGACTGTGAGCTTTTAGGGGCAGGGACTGTCTCTCGCTGTGTGTCTGTGCAGCGCCAGGCACAATGGGGCCCTGATCTCAGCTGGGGCTGGGACTGTCTCTCCCTGTGTGTCTGTGCAGCGCCCAGCACAACGGGGCCCTGATCTCTCTCAGTTTCTCTAGGTTCTACCACACTGCACCCCCCAGTACAGGGAATGACGATGATTCCTTTCACACCCTTAGGGTTAGCATCATTTCACCCCCTGGTACAACGTGCTGCAGTGGGGAGACCCTCCTCCCTCGTGACTCACATCTGGATTCTCTTTCCCTGCAGGTGAAGGGTCAGGGAGTGAAGAGGAGGAGGAGGAGGAGGAAGAAGAGGAGGAAGAGGAAGAGGAGGAGCAGCCACCAGGGTCTCCTGGGAAAACAGAGCTGCAGGAGACATCATCGGACAAAGAGGAGGTGGAGAATCCCAGCCCAGGGCCGGATGGGAAACTGCAGAACTTGGAGGGGAAGAATCAGGACAAACCTGCCAGCCAGACAGGAGTCCTCAAGCAGCCGCCAGCGCCCACGGGCATGGACAAGGCATTCCGCTGCGCCGAATGCGGGAAGACCTTCAGCCAGCGGTCCAACCTGATCCGGCACCAGCGCCTCCACGCAACCGACAAGCCCCACAAGTGCTCCGAGTGCGAGAAGAGCTTCGGCGAGCCGGCGGCGCTGGCCCGGCACCAGAAGTCCCACGCGGCCGGGAAGCCCTTCCAGTGCGGGGACTGCGGGAAGGGCTTCAACTGGAGCTCCCACCTGGAGCGGCACCGGCGCATCCACACCGGCGAGCGGCCCTACGAGTGCGGGGACTGCGGGAAAGGCTTCAGCGTCAGCTCCCACCTGGAGCGGCACCGGCGCGTCCACACTGGCGAGCGGCCCTACGAGTGCGGGGACTGCGGGAAAGGCTTCAGCGTCAGCTCCCACCTGGAGCGGCACCGGCGCATCCACACCGGCGAGCGGCCCTACGAGTGCGGGGACTGCGGGAAAGGCTTCAGCGTCAGCTCCCACCTGGAGCGGCACCGGCGCGTCCACACTGGCGAGCGGCCCTACAAATGCGAGGAGTGCGGCAAGCGCTTCACCGTCAGCTCCACCCTGACCCAGCACCGCCGGGTCCACGCCGCCGACAAGCCCCACCGGTGCCAGGACTGCGGCAAAGCTTTCGGGCTGGGCGCTGCCCTCCTGGCCCACCAGCGGAAGCACCGGGGGGAAAAACCTTTCCAATGCCCTGAGTGTGGCAAAGCCTTCGGCTTCACCTCCCACTTGGAGCGGCACCGGCGCGTCCACACCGGGGAGCGGCCCTTCCAGTGCGACGACTGTGGGAAGAGCTTCAGCCGCAGCTCCCACCTCTACCGGCACCGGCGCGTCCACACCGGGGAGAAACCGCGGAAATGCGCCGACTGCGGGAAGAGCTACCATCTCAGTGCCACCACCGTGGCCCAGCTCCAGGCCGCACCTGCTGGCAGCGGGAGGGATCCCACCAAGTGTGCCGACTGCGGGCGCCGGCGCGTGCCGCCGCCGGCCGCCGTACCGGAGCCTGCCCCGGCACCTTCGGGCTGCGCGGATAAACCCCACAAGTGCCCTGAGTGTGGGAAGGGCTTCGGACAGAGCTCCTCGTTGGTGAAGCACCAGCGGATTCACACCGGCGAGCGGCCCTTCCAGTGCGGCGAGTGCGGCAAATGCTTCGGCTGGTGCTCGGCCCTCATCAAGCACCGGCGCATCCACACTGGGGAGCGGCCGTACCGCTGCGGCGACTGCGGGAAGGCCTTCAGCGTCAGCTCCCACCTGGACCGGCACCAGCGTGTCCATGCAGGCGACAAGCCGCACCGCTGCCCCGAGTGCGGGAAGGGCTACGGTGAGCCGGCGGCGCTGGCCAAGCACCAGAAATCCCATGCCGCCGGAAAGCCCTTCCAGTGCGGGGACTGCGGGAAGGGCTTCGCTTGGAGCTCCCACCTGGAGCGGCACCGGCGCATCCACACCGGCGAGCGGCCCTACGAGTGCGGGGACTGTGGGAAAGGCTTCAGCGTCAGCTCCCACCTGGAGCGGCACCGGCGCGTCCACACCGGCGAGCGGCCCTACAAATGCGACGAGTGCGGCAAGGCCTTCGCCGTAAGTTCCACCCTGGCCCAGCACCAGCGGGTCCACTCTGGCGGCCGGCCCCACCGCTGCAAAGACTGCGGGAAGCGGTTTGCGGCGGGGGCCCAGCTGCTGGCCCACCAGCGGGCCCACCGGGGCGAAAAACCCTACCCCTGCGGCGTCTGCGGCAAGAGCTTCGGCTTCATCTCCCACCTGGAGCGGCACCGGCGCGTCCACACGGGCGAGAAGCCGTACAAGTGTCCCGACTGTGGCAAGGCCTTCAGCCGCAGCTCCCACCGCAACCGCCACCAGCGCGCCCACGCTTCCGCCTCCCAACACCGGCCCTTTAAGGGAGGGGGCGGGGCTGAGGCGGAGAAAGACTCCGCCCCCTCTGGCCCGGCCAAACCACAGAGAGGCCCTGCCGCCGCCGCTGAGGCTGCCCTCTCCCTCCTGCCAACCTGGTGGGGGGGAAGGGGAGAGGAGGAGCAGCCAGCCCCCGGCCTGGGCGGAGGACGCCACAGCGGCAGCCGTGCCCTTCCCCCACACTGCCGGGGGGCTGCGAGGATGGGGCATGAAAGCCTTCCCTGCCCCGGACGTGGCTCCCACCCCGTGGCGGCTGGGGGATGGTAGCTCAGGCTGGGCGTCCGCCCTGCCCCAGGAGGCCTGGCCCCAGCTGCCGCCCACTTCCTAACCAGCCTCCCGTCCTTCTCCGGAGCTGTTTACTGGGGCCAGTGCCCCCCCGCCCCCTTCCCAGAACGGGACAGGCAACAGGCCCGCCTCTCTAGGACAGACAGTGGGTGCTCCTGGCAGCTGTCGGGCGCTAACCCAGCCGCCCCACAGGGCAGGGATACGGTCTGATCAACGAGAGGTGGTCTCCCGCCACGCACGCACCCACCCGTGCCCTGTCCCGTGGCCGCCACTGGCCTGAGGATGTGTCACCCCCGAGAGCACCAGGCTCACCCCCGGATCCCACGCCTGAGGGGGATGGGAACCAGAGGGGAGGAGGTCACTTGAGTATCGGGGAGGTGTGGGGGGGATGAGAATTAGCAGGGGAGGGGGGCAAATTAAGCACCTGGAGCACAAAGGAGGAGGTGAGGACGAGGTGCTGGGAGGGGGCAGGATTGAGTGCTTGGGGGGTAGGGTTGCCACCCATGTAGTTTTCACCCAGACAGTCTGGGTTTTGGCTTGTGTGTCCGGGTGCCATTTGACAAGCCCTGATGTCCATTTTTTTTTAATCGGGGGGGAACAGGGAAGAGGCGGAGCAGGGGTGTGGGGCCTCAAGGAAAGAGGTGAAGGGGCAAGGCCTCAAGGGAAGAGGTAGAGAAGGGGCGGGACCTCAGGGGAAGAGGCGGAGAAGGGGCAGGGCCTCGGGGGAAGAGGCGGAGAAGGGGGAAGGGCCTTGAGGAAGAAGCAGAGGGATGGGGATTCAGGACTCCGGTTACCAGCCATTAGAAACGTGACCAACCTATTTGGGGGGCTGGCAGAGGTGGGGACTTGTGTTTGGGGAACTGGGTGGGGATGGTTGATGGGTGCAGGGGGTGTGCAGGCGATCGGGGTGCTGGCAGGGCTGAGAAGAGTCGGCCTCTGACTGAGCATTGTGGGAAGGAAGAATCTCATCTCCACACTCAGTTGAGCATCACATTCATATAGCTCCTCTGGGTGTCACACTTATACCATTCCCATCAACCAGCCCGCCCCCCCCACCTGAGTGCCACTTTTATATGATTCCCCAACAGCCTCCCAGCCTGAATGGTACATTATACTGTTCCCCAATAGCCCCCGGTGGTGTCACATTTGCACCGTTAGGCAAGTGATTATTCACATTTCTGATTCAGGGAGGTTTCACAGGAGACTCCAGGATTTTTGCCGACACCAACACTGACAATCGAGCATAGGAGGCAGAGACCCGCGCGGGGGAAGGAAGTGAGACCCCAATCCCATTAGCAACATGAGATAGGAGTGAAAGGAGGAGAGAGGGAGAGGCTGGATTTGGGACACAGCCGGGTTTGGTTTTGGGAAGCCGTGTCTGAGAACTCGCTGCATGGGTGAGAAGCCAGAAATGTCTGGAGCGGCAAGTGCTGATCTCTGTGGCTACAAATGACGCTGCAGAAGGAGTAAAGGGGGGTGTCTCCCCCCAGTTCCTCAATAGGGCGAATCTGACCTGAGAAGGAAGCCGGGAGAGATAATAGTCCAGGTCGCATCAGAATCCAGGCCAATCCCCTCCACTCAAGCCACAGGCAGAAAGGCCTGACAGCCCAGCTGTTGTCCACTCACACTCACCCCCACAGGTACACTAGCACCAAGGGGACAGAACTGGAATTGGAGACAGAGGCCCTGCTGGAATCTGTCCCCTGCCTGGGAGATCAGCTGCCAGCAGAGAAGGAGTTAACATTACAATATCCTGTAACTGTAACAACTGATTCCTTACCTCCCATTAAACCCCGATCCTGGAATTTCCTGGGCCTGGGTCATTTGCTTTTAGAACTGGATTCATTGTTCTGTCTGTTTGCTTGTAATTTAAGATTCTTTATTGTTTGGCGTGACGGGACCTAGAATCAGCCATGGACTCTGATATCTTTCCCCTGTAAATGCAGCCTCCTGGATTGGGATCAGTGCATTCGGGGTGGGCAGAAGGGTTCTTTCATTTTGTTCCTTGCTTTTCACTAGCTGTAATAAAGTAGCGCTTAAGTTTCCAACATTCCCAGAGTCCGGAGTCCTCTGTTCTGAAAAAACACGAGTCACAATGGGCCTTAGATGGGGTGTAGGAGTCTCCCAAAAAGTCAAGACTTCATACTTAGATTGTAAACTCCTTGAGGCAGGCATTGTCTGGTCTGTGTTTTGTATGGTGCCTGGCACAGCTGGTCATGGTCTGTGACTGAGGTTCACAGGCACTAGAATAATATAAATAATCAATGATAGTATTCATTTGATTTCAATTAGAGAATGAGAAAAGTTTCATAAGGAAAAACAAATCCTTAACTCATTTGAGTAAAGGTTCTGTTTTTTATCTCCTCTTGGACATTCAGAGGCCAGAGTTAAGATTGGTTTTCTTTTCTCCCCTTTGAGTTACTAAGATCAGAGTCAATTTTTCTCCTGCTGAGGTCAGGGTTAAGGTGGCTTCCTAGTTTCAACGTCCAATATGCGATATTTGATTTGAGTGACTCTGAGCCATTTGGATATTTCACTGTTTAGCTGCTTTTCTTTTCATCCTTCCATGCCATTGTTTTAAATCTCTAGGGTTTTAATTGGCTGCCGAGGTTTTTTTTTAACATGGAACAACTTTAACTTGATGTTAGCTCAGATTTTTGATTCCTGATGAGAATAAGATGCCATGGTAGGGTATCAAACTATGACATCAAGTACAGATGTGAGGTGTGCAAAGCTATACCTGTGTGTATTCCCCTACAAATAAATACAGATTCATAGCTTCTCTGGCCAGAAGGGACCATTGTGACAATCTAATCTGACATCCTGTATACCACAGGCCAGAGTATTCTTCTAGAATAATTCCTAAAGCATATTTGGGAGAATAATTTAGGGGATTAATTTTGGGTAGCTCACATTTCTTTCCTACCAATACCCCCAATAAACATGAAGCCACTCCGCAAATAAGTATCAGAGGGGTAGCCGTGTTAGTCTGGATCTGTAAAAGCAGCAAAGAGTCCTGTGGCACCTTATAGACTAACAGACGTCGGACGAAGTGGGTATTCACCCACGAAAGCCCATGCTCCAATACGTCTGTTAGTCTATAAAGTGCCACAGGACTCTTTGCTGCTTCAGCAAATAAGGTTACCTGAATTTCCAGGAGGTTTGCTGGGTGGCAAGGGGAAACTGAACAGGCCCAGGTTTGTTTGTTCTGGGAGCAGAGCGAGAGAAGTTTGTGAGCGGATGACATGACTGAAAAGGGAACTACTCCGGCTGGAATAAAAACGCAATGGGGGGGGAAACAGGTGGATGAGAACAGAACTGATGAAGGTGGACTAGACGCTGCTATTAACATGGGGAGGTTAGAATGTTAGTTGGAGCGGACCTGTGTGAAAACTGCTCCGCTGAGGTCTGGCAGAGAGCAGGTTGATTCGGTGGCGTCCGGCTCCGCTTTATATAAAGCCCCGGTGGGTGGGGAGTGAGCGCAGTAGTTAGGATGAGCGGGGAGCAGCGGGGTCGCTTGGCCGCGGTAGGGGAGCGGCTGGCGGCTATTGCCCGCAGCGCGGTGGCTGCGGGAGTCGAGCTGCGAGCCGCGTTGCAGGAAGAATTAACGGCGGAGCCCGAAGGCGGCCAGGCACTGCAGCCGGAGAAGATTGGGGCGAGCTCGTCCGTGTTGGTTAGGCTGGGTGAGCTCAGGCTGAAACCGCTGAGAAGTGGGGGTGCAGAGCGGTGCCCAGGTACTTAAAGGGGGTCGGGATAAATTAGGGTTCTTTTCTCCTGGGGATCAGGGTACAATGAAGTCCGCAATCGAGGTAGTTTAGTAGGGTAGGGCTGTCTAGATTGCTATGGGAGTCTTAAAGAAAACGTAGTTTAGTAAGTGTTACTACTTCCTGTATGTAAAAGGCGTCCTCTTTATTCTGCTCTTCAATACAACTCTAAATAGATTGTCCTCTCAGGTTTAGTTTCTTTAATCTTTCTTTGGTTCTTTCTGGCCTTTTATTTTTTTTTGCAGTTAGGATCTGCCCTTCACCAGACACCAATTATCTTAATTCTGTTTCTCTTTGTTTACTTTTTTTTTACTAGAAAAGTGTTTTTCTGTTCTTTAACATTGTTTTGTAAAGAAAAATCCTAATCTTTCTGTTCCTAGGGATTTATGGCCTAGGTGGGATTTCATTATAGTACTTTTCAGGTACTAAATACAAATGTGTTGACGGTAGACCAGAGGTTCTTGAACTTCATTGCACCCCAACCCTTTTCTGACAACAAACATTTCTGTGACCCCCCAAGAGAGGGGACTGAAGCCTGAGCCCGCCTGAGCTCTGCTGCTGTGGGGGATGGGACAAAGTCCCAGGGCTTCAGCCCCAGGGTGCCTAGAAACTGAACCTTGCTGCCTAGGGCTGAAACCCTCAGGCTTCTGCTTTGGCCTGGGGCAGTGGTTAGGGTTGCCAACCCACCAGGATTGGCCTGGAGTCTCCAGGAATTAAAGATTGTCATGTGATGAAATCTCCAGGAATATATCCAACCAAAATTGGCAACCCTAGTGGTGGGGATTGGGCTTTGCCCCTGTGCCCCAGCAAGCCTAAGTCAGCTCTGGTGACCCCCTTAAAATGGGGTCATGACCCAAAGTTTAAGAACCACTGAGGTAGACAATCGGGGACTGTAGGTTCTGAGCTGTGGGATGGAGATTGGGGAACAAGAGCTGTTCCAGCTCTGTGGCTTGGTATGGCTGGTGCTTAGGAGTTTAGTACCTTATTCCTGTCTCCCATTTTTGCTTTACAGAGGTTTCTGTTTGTAATAGAAGCATATAGTGCTGGAAGTCGCACTTTTGATTAAAATGGTCCGTGAGGGATCCTACCTAGATAGAATATAGAATTTTTTGTGTGGGAGAAAAATCTGAGTTTATGTTGCAGCCCGGGAGAACTGGGAGGAATTAACAGCTCAGCATCTTAACAGTGAGAGTCTGGGGCACTCAAAGGTACAATACTCTTCAGTATGTGATTTGCTCTGTAGTAGTTGCTCCTTCAAAAAACAGTTTTGGCTGCTGTGGATTCTCTAACAAGTGTCTCGGCTTGGGTGTCCTTGCAGCCCACAGATCTGCTAAACAGGAAGACGATAAAAGCAAGTCCCAAGAGGAACTTACCCCAACAACCACTCCTGCACCCCAGCAATGGGAGGAGGTGTTTGCCTTGGAGGCTCCCTCTACCATCCAGCAGGACATGAACCAAGAGATGGGCATGTTGGCACTAGGTGAGCTGCACAAAAACTGAATTTGCGCTGTTTAAAGGGGTTCAGGTTAATGGAAGGAGGGAGAGGAAGTGCAGCTACTCCTGTCTGCTGAAAGCAAAGTGAGAACTCACTCTCTATCTGTAGTCCCTAGACTAGAGGCACTGATTATGACCCTACGATTATTTGCTAGTTGCTATACAAACAACAAAAAGATGGTTCCTGCCTCTAGGTGCTTTCAAATTAAGTAGAAGATACGATTGGTGGTGGGGCAAAAAGGAATGGAAAGAAGTGACGACCAGCTGAGAGGATTATGATCAGCGTGGGCCAGGATCTCTGGCCAAACTACTTTTTCCCATGATGCACTAGTCTTCCATCATAGGAGTCCCGTGCTGTAGTGCATAATGGGAAAATTAGCTTGGCTCATAAAGGAGAATGGGGGTATGAGGAAACTGAAGTTCAACTCCCGTGAGGCACTAGCAGCATTTCTAAATCCAAATAGTTTGGTTCTTGACTGTATTTGTCAACATTTTGAAGGAGGGAGGAGCCTATTTTCCAATGAGCTCTACAAAGCGTGTGTGTTTCTTTCGCTGAACAGTAACATATTGTACTAGATTTTCTTTGGCGAAGAGGAAACTTGTGTTCTATTCGATAGGAGTGTTCTTCTTTTTTGTTTAGAAACTATTGTGAAAAACCAGGAGGCAATGAGGTCGCTGATGGCTGAGCTGGTGCAAAGCATGGGCGCTGTGGAGCAGAGGATCCGTAACATAGAGCAAGAGATGGGGCTGATCACTAGATTCACCCAAGAGCTAAATGAATTGGGTGAAGACAAGTGGACTTGAAGGCGCTCATGACTTGCCCCGGGTCAGGTACAAAACTAACTGCCCTGTTCCACATTTCACTGCAGCCCCCATGGCCGTTGATCTGGGGTATAATAGTTCTTTATGGACTCTTCAATCTGTGTGTGAGGGTTGAGATTTTGTGAAACATCTGGAGAAGTTGTTAACCATCCAACTCCCATTTAGTTCTTATGGGAGTGAGGCAGCTAAGATGTAATGATTTTGCAAAAGCACTTACCTTAACAGATTAATCGGTTCCTTTTTAAGCCATGTGCAGGTCTCAGAAATGCTGAAATCTCCATTCTCTGCATTGGTAGACTCAGAAGCCTCTAAGTTGTGCTTTGGAGTCAGTCGCGTCTCCTTTTCCCTAGTTGCCAAGCTATTGATGGGTTCCCTAACAAAGCTTGTTGTCCCCAAAACAAAACCATTCCCTAACTGGGTAGATTATTCTTCCCCTCACATTGGCATCAACTGATCTGCTCTCTTGGAATGCTGCGTCTGTCTAAATATCCTGATGCGCAATGAAGAAACAATGGGCTGCATTAAAGGAACAAATATATTTATCGTCTCATGAACTTCTGCAGATTGTGGTTGTATTTATAATAAAGGAAACTTTTAGTCTCCTATTAAGAACAAATAACACTAGGGATTTGTGCACATTCCAGTTCTATCCACCACTTTCATATTTGCTTAAAGATCTCTACAGATGCATAACTGAAAAGACAGCACTGGCCGTTAATCTTTATTTGATTTGGGGCTCTGTTCAGTTCTTTAGCATTCAGGCGTGGAATGTAGATGCACCTGAAATGCTTATGGAGTTGGAATATTCAACTATTCTGGATTGGAAGGATGGATTATTTCTCTTTGTTTGACAATAAATCAGTTCCAGCAGCTTTGGCATAAACCAGTGTAACATTGAATTTCACTGCTACTACATGTTTTAGTCTGTATTTCCACTAATACCTACGCTGCTCCTGGTAACCTGAACTGTTTATAGCAGGTCAAATGCTACTTAAAATTCCTTGGCCAATAACTGATTTTTTGGGGAATTTGTAAAACCTGCTCGTCCATTGATATTAGGCCAGGGATAGAAGTAGGTGATGAATTTAGAACAATAAAATGTATGAGATAAATTGATTGCTTTATTAGTAAACCATATTTAATGAGGTCTAGTGGTACAGATCAGCTGGTGTAAATTTTCATGGCTTAATGTAGCTCTGATAGCCTATACTAGCTGAAGATCTGCCCCAGTGTCTTAAGAACACCTGTCTTTATTTAAAAAAAAAAAA